AGGCTTGGCGCTGGCCCTCCGGGGTCACAGTCTGGTGAAAGAGAGACGGACTCGGATACCCGCCGTGCAAGATGCCGATTAGGAAACCCAGTGCTTCGGGGTCCCAGGGCAGGAGAAAAGCAATACAGCATCTAAAGCAAGCTACAGGTCACAAAAGGGCTTTGACACCAGTGTCTCCAGAGGGACACAACAGGAGCCACAGAAGTGTTCCAAGGAGGAGTACATCAAGGTCAGTCTCCGTCCACCTCCCGAGAACACACGCTCCCTGTGGAGTCGGCGCAACGGATGTTACTTCTCTGCTGCCTTCCTGGGCCTCCCGACCCCCGGTCGCCGTGCGGAAGCTGCCGCCTCCCCGAAGCTCTCTGAAGGCCTGGGACTGAAAGGCAGCCTCCGCTGGCTCGCCAGCCTGCCGGGTGGTGTCTGAGCCAGCTTTTCCCTTTCCACATCCTCCCGGTCTCCATCTTCCCGCCTGTTCTGCCTCTACCTGCTTCCCGAGTCTCACCGAGAGTGAGTCACACGGTGAGCCCTCCAGGGCACAAACGGCTCCTTCTCCAGTCTTCTTCCCAGTCCCACTCGGTAAGGGCAGGTCTACCCTGAAAATTCGGGAACAGAGCAGGCCACGTCCCTGCTCCCTAGCAGCTCTCCAGAATGACTGGGGAAGACAGATGGGCTAGAAGCTGGCAGCCTGGAAAGGGTGTTGACGGTGAACAGGACCCAGAAGACTCCGAGTCCAGCCGCTGCCCTGCCCCCATCTGGATAGGGGATCCTGAACGTTCTCTCCCTCTGCCTATTGCCTCAGCCAAAAAAACAAAAACAAAACAAAAAAACCCTCCACCAGGTCTGGAAGCACACCAGTTTTAGACACTTGGGCCTTTTTTTACCCACTTTGTTAGCTTGGTGACTCTGAGCACGTTACTATCTCTCTCTGAGCCTCGGCTCGCCTCTGTAGAATGGGGACGACCACGATGGTAATGCCGACCTGACGGGGGCTGCTGTAAAGCTCCAGCGCGATCAGGGGCGGGAACGATGTTTCTGTTCTTGACACTGAGCACTGTTAGGAATGGTTATGAGTACCAGTCCTAGCCCAGTCGAACACGCGCCCTTATTTTTATGTGCCCTTTCCCGAGAAAGGAAACACTGCTAATTAAATGATGACGTACCGTCATTTAATTAAACTAATGGAGACGCACCTTCGTTTCGGGGTTGGTAAAATATGAAGCAAATGCAGGTCTTAGATTGGATAAGCTAGGCTGTTGTTCTCCGCTGGGCGAGGGTGGATGTTCTGATGGAACGTGGAAGGGTCCAAAGGAGAGGACGGGCGGCTCGTGTGGAAGGACCACTGGTGCAGAGGTGGGAGGGCAGATGTCGTGTCCAGATTGTAGGACAGCTTGGCGACCAGAGATGGGGCGCTTGCCCTCGATTATGGGACACCAGGTAGGGTCTGGGACAGCACCATGTAACCGAGTAAATGAATACTCCTGCAATGAAATCTATGAATAGTCACCCCAAGTGGGATAACTAGGCTACAAATCAGGCCCAGATCAGGTCTGGTGGGGTCTCCTAGCAGGATGGGCTACCAGAGACTTTGGGTTTTCTGAGCATTTTGCATTTTCTGAATTTTAGACTGTAATGGCTAACGTTTATTGAAGACTTACTGTCCAAGTGCTTCACACATCATAACTCATTTAATTCTTGTAACAAGCGAATGATGTGGGTGCTATTACCATTCCCATTCTACAGACTGGGAAACTGAGACACAAAAAGGATTAAGTGCCTGCCGCTGAGTGCTGGGGCTCGGCTCCACGCTCCCGACCATTTGGCTGTGCTGCCTCCTCACAGGCGATGCATGAAGAGGAGCTTGGCTTTGGCAGCGTTTGGGGACCTATGGTGCCATTAGGAGGCCCCACGGGTCTGAGAGTGTCAGAACTGGGCCTGGAAGTCACAGAAGGTGGCAGGAAGGAGGCCAAGAAATAGCTTAAGGAGAGTGTGTGTGGAGCGGGAAGAGCGGGGACGGGGTGAGGAGCCCTGAAAGCGCCCATGTTTTTACAGCATGGGACAGGACAGGCACTAAGGAAAAAGAGCCAGAACAGCACCCTGACCAGGGGACTCTCCCTCCTCTTCACCCGTCAGGATCCTCTGTGCTGTAAAGAGCTTTTCCTCAAGACTGTCAGTACAGTGAGGCTGGAGACGCTCCCTTCTCCTGGACTTCCTCTAGAACTGGCAGCCTCCCGTGGGGGCTGGACACCTCCAGACTGTCAGGGGCTCTGGAGTGTGCACATGTCCTCCTTCAGACTGGTGACACCCCTCTAGGCTGTTAACATCTGCTGCACTGTTAGCATCCCTTGGAGGTCTGGATACCTCCCCGAGGGTGTCAGGACACTGGGGGTGCGGACACTCTCTCCAGGCTGTCGGAGTTCTCTTAGGTGTAGACCTGATCTCCTTCAGACTGTCCCGATCCCTCGGGGGGTGAGGATGTTTCTTTTTCCTGACTGCCAGGACAGTGTGGGTGTAGACACTTCCTAAGTTGGACTGCCAGGGTCCTGTGGAGTGTGGAGAGCTCGCTCTTTTCCTCCAGGTCACTCTGGGACGGAGACACCTCTTCCCACAAATTGTCAGGACCCCTGCCCCAGACTGTCGGGAACCCTCCGGGGTATGGCCACCTACTCCTTCCTCCAGACTGGCAGGTCCTTTGATGTGTGGACACTTCTTCCACCAGACCGTCGGGATTATCTGAGTGTGGACTTCTCGTCTAGACGGTCAGGGTCCTCGGAAGTGTGGACTGCTCTGCCTCTACATCATCTCTGCCCCCTGGGGCTATGACCCTCTCTACTTTATGGTTCATTATTGGGAGTCTCTCCTCTCCATCAGTGTCATTACTACAGTGTGGACACCTTCAGGTGTGTGTCCCTTAGGCCAATTTCTGTCACTTCCCAACCATATCACACCCCTAAGAGACTGCTAAGAAATACAAAGGTATCTGGGGTTATCACCACGACAACACACTCACAGATTTAACTGGTCAAGGTCCAGGGATGTTAATTGTTCCCCAATGCATGAGATGGTCCTACATAAAAAGGACTGCTCCACCCCAAATGCACACCGCGTCCTACCTTAGAACATGACACTTGCTGTTACAGACACTTGCGGGTTATTCACACACACACTCCTTTTGTTCTCCACCTAGACGCATGGCTGAGTCACACTTCCCAGCCTCCCTCGCACCAAGGTGAGGCCAGTGACTCGGCTCTAGCCAGTCAGTGTGGGCACAGGTGATGGGCACCGTGTCCTAGCCTGGCCCATGAGCAACCTCCGCTTCCACCCCGATTCTCGGCCCACTTGCCAGCGATGCAGAGTGAGGATCAGGGGGCGGCTCTGAGGCACAGCAAAGGCTCGAGAGGGAAGGAGCCTCGATGGCCACGCCACTGTATGGGAGGACACTAGCCAAATACCCACGCGGGACCGACACAGGAGCGAAGAGACTTCTCATGTGTGAAGCCACTAAGATTTGGGCGTTATAGGTACGGCAGCTAGCCTGCCTAGTACAGCTGACCCTCGAACAACACAGGTTTGAACTATGTGGGCCCACTTACAGGCAGGTTTTTTTCGATAAATACAGTATAGTACTGTAAGTGTTTTCTCTTCCTCATGACTTAACATTTTCTTTTCTCTAGCTGACTTCACTGTAACGATACGTTATATAATACATATAACATATAAAGTACGTATCAATCCACTGTTTGTGTCGTCGGTAAGGTCAACAGTAGGCTACTAGTAGTAGCTAAGTTTCTGGGGAGTCAGAAGTTACAGGCCGATTTGACTACGCGGGGTCAGTGCCCCTAACTACCCACCCCCCACCGTGTTGTTCCAGGGTCAACTGTATACCTGGCCTGCCCCCGGGGTCCTGCAAGTCCGGAGGAAGCAGCCAACGTAAGGCATGTCTACGTCCTACTCCAGAGCCTTCGTGTTCCGAGTAGTCAAAGGCGCTCCCCTCCTGGTCAGACACCGCTCGGTGGTAAGCTGAACCCTTGCAAAATGAGAAGTGGAGCCTTTCCAGGTGACGCAACCCTATGCTGAGCACATGGCCTGATAAAAGGAACTCTGCCTGGATTTCAGTTCCCGCCTCCCTCTTTGCCAGGTACCCTTAAGAGGGCAACCCAGTCCAGAAGTATCTCGCTGCACTTTCAACTACCAGCTTGAAACGCACGCCCCTGCCAGGATGTCCCTGTCACACTCAGGCCAACCGCCCCCCACCTTTCCCCGGACAGGAAAAGCAGGGAAGTTGCAGGCACACAGTGAGGCGAGCTGGGCGCGCGCGCGCACACACATCGGATCCCGGCTCCCTACCTCTCCCACGTACTCCATGACGAAGCTATTCTTGCGGATCTTCTCCAGCGTGCGGACGCCCCAGCCGCGCCCGTCGTCCGTGCGGAAGATGCAGAGGTCATAGCGGATGCCCTTCTGTACCACGCGGTTGGGGCAGTCATAGCCGCAGCGGCAGCGGGAGTTGCACTCGTAGATGGGCAGGCCGGCGCGCAGCCGCACCTGACCCTGGTCGTTGTAGGCAAACTTGTGCAGGGACGCCCCAGGGCAGCAGCCTCCGGCGGGGGCCCACAGACAGTCCTGGCACTCACAGCCCACCGCCACCTGGTTGAGGGTGATGCCCTCACCCACACGGTACTCGTTGATGTATACGAAAGCCCGCGGGGGGCCGTCCAGGTCCACCTCGTTCTCCACGGTGATGCGTCCCAGGTGGCTGCGCTTGGCATTGAGCTCCTGCTCCCAGCGCCGGAGCGCCCGCCTCTGCTTGGCCTTCTGTACCAGGTAGTTGGCCAAGCTTGGGTCCAGGTGCCGGGGGGGCTTTGACCGGTGGTGCCGCCGGAGCAGCTCCCTTTCTAAGTCCTTGTGGAACTGCTTGAGAATGCGCACGCACTTGAGATTCTGCCGGGGCTCCCAGGTGCTCTCTGAGTCTGGGTATCCACGCCATTTTACCAGGTAATACTCTTGCTCCTGTTGGGGGCACCAGGGGATGGGGGCACCGTAAGTGGCCATACCCTTGGCCCAGCCCTTGTGGGACTTCTATCCCAAAGCTGGTTGGCTAAGACCCAAACTACTCCCGGCGCCTGTTCTGGAATGACTCTATGCGGTGGTTACAAAGCATAAGCACGGGCTCTAGCCTGAGGATCCCTAGGTTCAAATCCCACACTCCCCGCTACTAGTGTCCAAATTCCAAGTTTTAATCTAATCTACTCCCTCCCGTCTTCCCTCCTATCAGCCCCCTCCTTCCAGCTGTTCAGGCCCCAACCCTTGGGAGTCACAACTTTCTTAGTCCCCACGTCCGCCCTCAGCAAATCCTGTCAGCCTCACCTTCGAACTACATCCAGAATCCGACCACTTCAAACCAGCGTCATTGCCACCCCCATCATCGCTCGCCTGAATTAGGGTAGTAGGCCTCACCAGTCTCCCCAGTCCCACCTTTGCCCCCATAGTCTGTTCTCCAATCAGCGGACAGAGGGATATTTTCTTGCACAGAGCAGCTATTTAACCACAGATTCTACAGGCAGACACACTGTGTACAAATTCTGAACCTGCAGCTCCTTGACCAGGTGGCCTATGGCAAGTTACTTAACTTTGCTGACCCTCAGTTTCCTCATCTATAAATAAGAAAAAAAAAGCTGACATTTTTCTAGCATTCGGTATGTAGCAGGTACTGTTCTAAGTAACTTCTATGTTTTATTAACTAATTTAACCCTCATAACTCTGTATGAGCTAGATACTACTAATCATCTCCATTTTACAGATGAAGAAAATGAACCACAGAGAATGTGGGTAAGTATCCCAGGGCTACAGGGCCACAATTTGAACCCAAACATACTGGTTCTAGTATGTTCTCTTTATCCTGTTGCCTCCTCTGGCAATGGTAACAGTTTCCATTTCACAGTGTTGCTGGGGGGATTAAATGAGTTTCTGAGAGGAAGTGCCCAGCACACTGAAAGTGCTCAATAACTGCTAGCTATCACCCGCTCCCTTCCTGGGCTCAGCACCTCAATCTTTGCAACTGGTTTGTATTCCTATGGAGGTGGGAAGAGAGACTTATTTGGGGACTCATTCTGGCTCCTACCCCCCTGAGAAAGCCACCTCGTTTCCTCACCTGCAAAATGGGGATGATAAGAAGTCCTACTAAACCTAATTTTTTAAGATTAGAGGAGAAAATTCCCTTTGGAAACAGATGCAGGCAGTGGGGGTGGGGGCAAAGGGGCTACTAAGCCATCTTCCTTGAGACACCCCTGCCCTGACCAAGGTCACCCCAGACTTACGCGGATCTTCTTGTAATCACACAGGTACTCGACTTCAAAGTCATAGAGATTCCTCTTGGAGATGCCGAGGGCAGGGCAAGAGAGCTTGGCCAGGCGGCACAGGTCCTGTAGCTGATTCCAAGAAGACTTGCAACACACACTGCAGCCTGGGACAAGGAGGGCAGAAAGAACTTAATGGGCATCCTGGCGAAGCCACGGGTCAAAGGGAACCCCAAATCCTCTCTGGGACTTCCAAAGGGCTGCCTCAGAGTCAGTGAGATTTAATCCACAGGACTTCCCAATGCTGAGACCCTTCTACAACAAAAATGTGCCACTTCTTCAACCCCAGTGCTCATTCCAAGGCTACCCCTGGAGCAGTAGACCTCAAAGTGGGATCTGCTGGATGGATTATCCTAAAGGAATCTATTCCCAGCAGCTTCCAACTCCCTCCATACTATTCCTAAAACTGCCCGCAAACCTGCCTAGGGTTCAGGACCTAATCATCCCTCTCCCCACTTTGCAAAATAAAGAGAACAAACCCCCCCCCATCTCAGTAAGGTGCATTGCCCCAGGGGAACTGGTGGGGACGGCATTACAACCTGTAGGCACCAAACAAAGGCTTAACTGGAAAGACTGGTCCGGAATCCCTTATCTGAAACTCCTGGGGCTAGTTGTGTTTAGGAATTCAGATTTTTTTTTTTTTAATTTTTACAAGTGTAGTTCTAGGTGTGCCCCCGACACTACCTAACACCCCCAGTGTGGTCAGGGGCATCAAGCCATAATCAAACACATTAATAATTCTGCAGCAAAAATCTGAACTTTTACATTAAATAGGAGAAATAGAGGCAAGATAGTCCCGCCTTATAATCTAGTTTTGCCACTGAATGGTGCCAAACTTAAGTTTTCAGAGCTTTTTAGATTTCAGAATTAGGAAGAAGAGATTGTGGAATGGTGTTAGATTTCAGGAAGCTTCCTTGAATGATTAGCCTGGGTCCCTTAAACCTGCAAGGTATATTTTTTCACACTGCATTTTGGCTGTCTCATCTACATTTCTGTGAAGAGTAAAGCCCACCCAAAGGAGTATGCTCTGAATTCAGGAACCGGCAAAACAGCACAGGTTAATGACGATTCTTTTAAATATACCTGGAATGTTTCTGGGGCTATCAGAAATTTTCAAGATGCGGATTTTTTTTAAAAGAATTCTGATTCAAGGCACAATGTGCTTTAGAAGCCATTTTATCAAATCATTCCATAGAACACTTACTCCAAATGCAGTCGGTCCTCATCCTATCTTTAATATTTCCTACCTCCCATTACAAAAATCAAACATTTGAACTCATAATGAAATACTCTAGACGTCAACCTGAAAACGTACAAGAGCTTTGCAGAATTATTTCGTGTGCACAACCCCCCCTCCACTTAGGCAGGCCTAGTGGAGACTCAGCCCTGTGCCCACGCTTTCCTCTCCCTATGATGCCTCTCCCTTTCAAACCCCTTAACTTGCATTCGAAACCCACTAAAGTGGTCCCAACTAACCTCTCCAGCTGCTGGCTCCGCACTGACCACAGGTGGATTCCTACCCCTCAGAGGTCCCCCTCACACTGTGGAGCCCATCCTCCCCGCAGCTTTTCTCACCCAGAGGAGCCCACCCTCCCCAACATACTGGAAAAGTCACCCCCTCTTCCCCTACACACGAGGGAGTCCAGCTCTCCTGTTAGAGAAGCCCCTTTCCCCTCTTCCCGGGGGAGTCTTCTCTACAGCAAACCCTTTCCCCATCACGCGGAAAGGAGGTACCCTCACCCTGAAGAGTCCTCTGTCCCCCCACTCTGAAAAGAGGTCCGTCCCCTTCCCTTCCCTCCCCTTCCGGCGTCTCGCGTGGACACCAACCGGGTAACGGTCACCGGCGGCCGATTTTCCCGCGCGCGGGCGCGGCCTCCCCGACAAGCCCCCGCGCGTGCGCGCGCCGACTGGTCGCGATCAGAGGCGCGCGCCCCCCTCCCGCGTCCCCACTTAGCCCCGCGCCCGCCGCGTTCCGAGGCACGCGCCCCCTCCCCTCAGCCCCGCCCAGCCCCGCGCGCCAGGCCCGGGCTCCCTGAGCCCCATCCTTTCCGCGCCAGGCTTCCGGCTCCCGGCTCCGTGGCCTCGGACGCCGGGGCCCCGAGCCCGCAACGCCACCCCTCCAGCCCACCCGGCCCGGCCAGCAGGCCCGCGCCGCCGCCGCCACTGCTTCACCTTTTAAATTTTCCGCCATCTTTCCCCACGGCTAACGACATTCGGGCCTAACCGGCCTCGCGAGAAGAGAGCTCGCGCGGGCGTGGCCGAGAACGCGCAGCCTATTGGCCGCGCGGCGCCGGGAGCAGCGCCCGCGCGGACCAACCGGCGAGCCGTGACCGGACCCCTCCCCGCCACCCCGCTCGGTCCCGAAGGCGGGTGCTCGCCAGCGCTTTCCCAGAGTGCGTCTGGGCGGCGGCGGCGGCGGCGGCGGCAACTAAGGTTGCGGGAGGCCCTGCCCGTACGCCGGTCTGTCTGTCACGCTGTCAGCCAATCACGTTGTCAGCCGACCGCACGGAGGATTCTCCGTCCTGTCAGACCCCCAGTTACCACCGTCAGTCAGTCGTCACCACATTTTAACCCCAAGCAGACCGTGACTCCCAAGATGGGACTGTCGCCACGTACAGCTGCTCAGCCGGCCCCCAGACTCAAATCAGACAACGGGTCCATCACCACAGACGACTGTTTAGTCAGACCCCGCTCCCCCCCCCCCATTCACACTGTCTGCCAGTCAACAGCGGCACCCATTCGACCCTCGGGCCAGCTGCGAGTCCCTCAAGGCAGACAGACGGCGCTAACAACTACACTGTTAGCCAGCCTGTCATTGCCTCCGACGGCCCCTTTTTCACACAGCCAGTCAAGCAGCCCGTCTCTCCATGGTACTCTTGCTCCGGGGGCAGCTCCGAAAGCCCCAGGGGAAACCGTCTCACAACCACCAGCCGTGGCCTCAAGCGGGCCATGATTAGGTCAGGACAGGCTGTCATTGTCAGCATCTAATGTCGCTCTCTCGGGCAGATATTCTATCCACTGTTAGTTGGTCGATCTTGAATTCCCTCGGGTGACCCCTCATTCATGCCCTGATCAGGCAGTTACTCCCTCAAAGCAAAGAGTCACAGCAACTGAAGCCTCCACGCCACCTGACAGTGGGTCAGCGGTCTGTCACTTCTCGGGGGAGGCATGCCCACCATTGGTCAGTCATCCAGTCAGTCTCCTCTGACCCAGGGGGGCCCTCAGGGCCGCTGTGGTTCCAACCTGGTACGGCCATCCAGTCAGGTGGCTACACTGATATTTCGATGGGTCAGCTGGCCTGTGACTCGTTCACTGCCCTTCATCGTATTGTCAACCCGCCAGGCAGCCATTCTCAGCATCTGACGGGCCACACGGTCTGGGTGGAGAGTCCCTCACCAGATACAGTTGCTTATCAGGCAGTGACAGATCTGGCCATCAGTCAGCCCGAAATCCCCTCAGGGTAGCCCTCCTTTACGCACCATCAGGCCGTGGCGTCACATCCAGACACACTCCCTCGGGCCAGACGTGACTCCCTGCAATAGTCAGCCATTCACAACATCCCGCCCCCCAGGCGGGCAGCAACAGCTCGCACGGGCCATCAGTCAGCCAGCCTGTCAGTCCCTCAGGAGGCTGCCTGTCTTCTACGCTCTCGGACCACCAGCCGCAGCCGGTCCTAGGCTGGCATAATTTCATTAGATATTCAGTACCTCACAGCATCAGGAAATTGCACTGTCCATTCCTCAAACTGCCCCTCTCCCTGTGGGTCCGTGAGTTATGTAGGCAACCAAATGATTATACGGTTAAGCAAATGGTCGTTCGGTCGGCCTGCCAGTCTAGCTGTGAGCTAGTTGGGAGAAATGGCCAGTCAGTCTGAAGTTCCAGCAGCCCCTGCTTACCGCGAGTGGAACAGCCAGCAGCATGCACCCCACCATGCATCCCCTTCCCTTCCTTTTTCCTTCTAGAACACAGTCAGATGCTGGTCCTCACATGCTCTCAGTCTCCCCGGACAGGCAGAACCCTCCTATTCCCAGAAGTCCAGTCCAACCCGTAAGAATGGCTTGAGGCATGACTGAATCTGGAGGGGGTCATATAGGGGTCTGTGGGTGTTGGGCAAACATCCCTTTGTCAACCTTAAAGATAAAACTGCCTGTTATTTTACCAGCAAAAGATGGGTTTATTCAGGAATAGCTGAGAATTGCAGTGCAGGACAAGCAAGCTATGGCAAAACCATATGCAAGTCCAATAAACAAAGGAGAGGAACATTATGTTATGGAGGAGGAAGTTGGGAGGGGTTGTTTGGAACAAAAGTCTGTTGGAGAAAAGCAAGAGTTCATAGCCATGATGGTTTCTCAGTGGCTGAGCTGCAGGTGTAGTCAATTTCTTATAGGAGCCACAATGTATATCTTTCCCTGTGGGGGGCTTGTAACTGACCATTCTTTCCTGCTGAGATACTTCTTTTGGGTCTGTAATTGACACTTTTTGCTGTAATTGACATTGAGCGGTAGGTTTCCTCTACCAGCCTCCCCTTCTAGCATCCTGAGTCCATTTTAGTAAGGTTTCCCTTTATTAATTTTCATACCTTGGTCCTCCCCAAACAGTATATATAACAGTATATGTAATGCAGTGGGTAAAGGCCTGGGTCTTGGAGCTTAGCTACCCCGGTTCAAATCCCAGCTCCACCATTTACTAAACCGTGTGACCTCAGGCAGTTTCTTCATCTGTAAAACCTCAGATGAGTGACCTTGGGGAGGGCATCTCCCACTCGTGTGGAAATGAATCTTTCTGGAGTAGCATCTTGTCCAGGAGACCTCAAAAGTAAGAGGCCACCCTGTTATTCCTGTGTCCCACTCCCAGCCACTTGTCTGTTCATTCAGCATTAATTCAGTGCCAAGTCTATATTGCCTTGTCCAGTGCTGGGGCCAATATAAGGTCTTATCCATTCCGAGCTGTACAGGTTTGACCTGTTTTTAATGTAAACCTCGTACTCGAGTGTACCACACATACAGAAAGAAGGCACTGACCATGGGGGATCAGCATCACAAGTTTTCACAAGCAAACATACACGTGGAACCAGAACGCAGGTTAAAGGAACATCCCCAGCCAGATTCCAGGAATACTTAAATCTGTAACATCTCTGAAATCTGGCTACGTCTCCCAGGCACTGGTGAGTCATAATTTAATTCGCAGTACTTTTTTGTCTTTCTTGGTGATACATACAATGATGGTGCATTTTATGATCAACGGTGACTCGGGACCAGTCAGTAGTAGGAAGAACAGCAACAGCAGCATCTAATGTTTGTAGATGCCTCAAGGAGCCCCGCACTTTGCAGACACTCGCGTTCTCTCCGCAACCCCGTGAAGTATGCATTTTTAGTCTCAGTTTAAAGATCGAGAAAACTGAGGCCCAGAAATGTCAAGCCACTTGTCCACGGTCAATTCTTTTCCACCAAGCCCGTGCCTGCTGTAGGCAGCGCTCCTGGAG